AACCTCTGTCCCACTCTTTTTAACTATGGGTATACCTCAGGGCTCTGTCTTGGGTGTTCTTGTCTTTCTATAATTCTCTTTTAGTGATATCTTTAACTTGATGAATCCAACTACTGCCTCTTTGTAGACAACTCCCAGACCTAGATATCAAGCTGCAGTCTCTTCTGAACTCTAATCACACACCACTTAATGGCTACTGGATACTGCCAACTGGATATCTCACAGGCATATCAATTACCACTACTTTTTTTTCTCCAAACTCTTCTATCCTTCTAACTTCCCTATTTCTATTGAGGGAACCACCATTCTTCCTAAGTTTGTAACCGAAGTCATCCTTGACTCTTCCTACTCTATCACATGTAAAAAGTTGGCAGTCTATTCAATTCTACCTGCACTATATTATCTCATAATTATCCCATTCTCTCCACTCAAATCAAAACCAAATTACTACTCTTTTTCCTACTACCACTACTACGATTACTATTACTACTAACAACAATAATAGCTAACATTTATATAGAATTCACTATGTTCTAGTCACAGTGCTAAGCATTTGCCAAGTATCTCATTTGATTCTCAAAACCCTAGGAGGTAGGTGCTATCATTATCCCCATTGTACAGATGAGAAAACAGAGGTGAAACGACTTGTTCAGGACCACATAGCTAATAAGTGTCTAAGGCTGGATTTGAACTTAGGTCTTCCTGACTAGGCCCAACACTCTATCCATTGTACCACCTAGCTATTCTATTAGCTCAGGCCTTTACCACTTCTACCTAGATAATTACAACAGTCTCTAACTGGTCTCCTAGGCACCAATTTTTCCCTTTTCCAATTCATCCTTCACACAGCAGCCAAAATTAATATTCCTTAAGAACAGATCTGACCATGTCACTTGGCTATTCCACTCAGCTCCAGTGACAAACACCAACTCATCTGTCTGGCTTTTAAAGCCTGTCACAATCTGGTTCTAGACTAATTTTTCTGCTTAATGTATATGATACTCTTTTCCTTACATGTTAAGGCCAGACTGGCCTGCCTGCTGTTTCCCCACACAAAATGCTCCATCTCCCACTCCCGTGTCTTTGTTCAGACAGGCTACATTTTCCTCCCCCATGCTGGAAATAAATCCCCCTGTCACTTGCCAAGGTGAGGTGAAATGCCCCTCCCACAGGAAGCCTATCCTAAGCCCCCAGTGGCTGGTTTCCTCCTAATGGAAACAACTCCATTTATCATTTTCCATGTATGTACCTACTCCCTCCTGCCCCTGTCCTTCTCCAGAACTAAGCTTCCTGATGGCAGGCACTGTTTCATTATTTGGCACAAAGCAGGCACTTAATAAATGCTTGTTGACTGCACACTGACTGTACAGCTACTTTCTAAGCATTTGACTTTCTATGCCGCTCCTGAAAAAGCAAACGTTCTCTTTTCTTGAGTGACTTTGGCCTCCTTTGAACACCACCGCCTCATCTGTATCTGTTGGACTCCAACAATGAATTGTGCCATAAGCTTCATCGTCCTGTCCTTTCTGCCATCTTAGTAAGCTGCCCTGATTCAATGAACAGATGCAGTTTTCTTCTAAAGTGAGGCTGACATAATTACTGAAGCCAGAGACCAGAATCAAAACTAAGACCTGTTGACACTGGCTTCCAATAAACACTACAAAATTTCCTATTAGGGAACTGCTTATTCAGTTAAGTCAGCAAGCTTCATCAACTTAGATTTGAAAGCTGAGTCACTTCACTGATACAAACAATAAACATTTATTGTTGAGTATTAGTTTCTTCTACATTCTGAAAAAGCCCAAGTCAAATGCTACAACCTCCAGGAAGCCTACCCCAACCCACCTGCCTCAGTGCCCAAGTCAGTAAACATTGTCTCAGCTGAACCTTACTCAGCATTTCTTAAACACTTACCAAGTACTACAGGTTTTGTGTATATATGAGATATGAAATATATATGTATGTATTTGCAGGGGTTATATTACAGAGCCACACTCACAATATACTATAAATTATTGAGGTGCACTGCTTCATGGAGCAAATGTTAGGATTCTTAGTTACGATTTGTTATTTTTTTCCTACAGGAAGCCAACTTTGATACTGTTTTGAAAGTAAATGGAAGAACGATTTGAATTCAAGTACTTTACAATTTTTCAAGAACATATTCATAATAAAATGGAGTTGAAAATAAAGGAGGCTTCTATAAAAAGAATAATTCTTCATGTACTCCATTATCAAATTAAAGAAGCTTTCTCAAAGATACCAATGTATCCTTTTTGAGGGGTTTCATGAACCTCACAAATGTTACACTTTAGATGCAGCATACACAAACATGCCTTTAATTTAGAATAAAAAAGCAAAATTAAATTATTTCCTCAGTCTAATGTGTCAATGGTTTTCTATTTGTCCTAAGGAAACTATTTTTAGAATCATTAATTTTAGAACTAGAAAGACCTCAAAAGAATATCTATTTCAATCTAAAAAGTGAGAATTGAGGCTCAGACCAGCGAAGTGACTTAACCAAAATCATCCAGCTTGTTAGTTGGCAAGTTCTGGGCTAAAAATGCATCTCAGGTTCTTTAGTGCCCTTTGGTAATGTGTTCTGTTGAGGTCCAGTTATCTTTTTGTACACAATCAGAATGGATTTCCCCAAAGCATCATCACTTAAATGGTGTAATCTATACTGAATGTTTTTGACAAAGCATGCTTCTGCCACATTTTTTAAACAGGGAGGTATAGAAGAATAAATGGGGGAGCCACTACCAAAAAAAAAATCTAGGATATAGTCAAGAAATCAAAGAGTTTGGTAAACCATCTTTACCAAATGCTTCTTTTTGTTGAATGTTAATGAAGGGTATAAGATAAAAATAAAATGGTTCTTTTTTCCCCTCATAAAGGGCCTCTCATATTTTAGAACAAACTTTTCAATTAATTCTTATTTTTAATAGTTTGCATTGTCTTTAGTTATCGTAAGGCTCTTGACAACAGCAATAACTTCCTTTGAATTTATCAATTTCATTTTGGTTAAATTTTTGGAGCTTCAAATAATCATAACTTATAAACTCTGTTATAATTTAACACTAATATTAGTTATTACTAAATCTTCAGTAGGCATCTTATTCAACTCACCCATCTTCCTCCACCTTCTATTCCTTTAGCTGCATCTATAAGAAACATTTTCAAATTGTACTACATGTTTTGGTTTAAAACATTCTTATTTTTTTTTTGGTAAGGTTTATGTATACTAAGCTAGAAACTTATGAAGTGTAAAGAAGGTTGGAAATCAAGACAGTGAGCAAATTCTCTTTAGAAAAATCCCCTTCACTAATACTGTAGAAATAGTCTGAAACAAAACATAAAGAATGGAACCATTTCCTACACTGACATTTCTGATCTTAACAACCTGTAACAGTTTATTCTTCATCAAAATACTGATTTATTATTGTAGACTTCTAACCATACTCCTTTCCTGACCTACAGCATTTTTCTGACTAAATGAAACCCTTAACTTGTTATTTTTCTCACAGCTGACTATACAACCCAACCTTTAACTCTGACAGGCTCCATCTGGGAGCGTGTATTCTAGCCCTTTAGGCAACTATTGCTCCCTTCATGGTAACAGGTTGGGAATCTGAAAAAGATGATGGTCAAATCATGATTATCCATGTATAAAATGCTTATTATCTGAATGACTTGGAATGATTTTCCCACACAATTTAATATACTGCCTTGTCAGTTTTATTCATAACTTGTGTTCTCCTCCACTTAACATGTTTTTTTAGTAGCTTTCCAAAAGCCTGAGCAGTGCCCCTCTCCATTCTCCTTTCCAGCATACCTCTCAATCCCACCTCCCCACTAGACATAGAAAACATTTCTGTATTTAAAGTTCATTTTCTCTATTTTATACTTTGTACTTTAACTAAGTGACTCAATTTTATTCATTTGCAAAGTCTTATTTGTAACCTAGAAAAAGAAAACTATCAAATGTTCCTCTTTTTTCTACCAGCTAAGAGTCACTGCTCTTGTAGTTGATTAAAAATGCTACCAGACTGGGCCCAGAATGAAACTACCAGATAAAAGAAATTTTAAAAATTGTTTCAAATTAGGAGATTTACTGCTATTATTTGGATTTTAATATTCTCCTGCTGAATAAAATGAATAGCTAAACTTCATTAGGAAACCTCTAGAATATTGCTGTTCTGATGCCTATACTTAGATAGAAGGTGATCTTGAGTTCCCAAAGGCTATATCAGCAAAGGACAAGCTTCAGGTGTGGATTGCCTCTGACAATGTCTGCTACTGTTAGAGGAACAGCTTAGCAAGTGCCTCACTGCCAGCAGGCAGGCTCACTATGGCTTTGGTAACATATATATCAGAAGAAAACATTAAAATGGCACTCAGTCTTGTGCAGCCCCTGCCCATTTTTGTAGTGACAGAGGCAGAGGGAAGGACAAAGGATGTATGAATTCTACAGTGTTTATTAATTAAACCACTGGCATTCTGAATGTGAGATCTCTGTGACATACCACCAGAAGACATAAATAAGTTGCAGCTAAATGGAAGAAATGGTTCAAATGTTCTCAGAGAGACAAATGGCCATTACAATAAACAGAGTTGTAGCGTACACACGTACATCTTTTGGAGATGAATTAGTAGAAAATTTCTGTTAAGAATTCTGTAAGATTCTCCAAATCAAATCATTATATACCTTAACACTCAGTACATTAACAAAAAGGTGGGAAAACTGTTAGAAATACGATCTGGGACTAAGAAATGTAAGTTGCCAAAGGTCTGTAGATATTTAGAAATTTCACACATGTACTATCATAAAGAAGAGCTGTAAGAACTGTTGGACATGGTGAACACTGAACAATGTTACAAAAAAAATGAAACTCATAAATCCTTACTGGAAATGACTGGATGAAGGTGTCATTTCAGAATTAAGTGATCTGTATGCAGTCAGATTATCAACTAATTAAAGAACATATTGAATTTATTACCAAACAAGAAGAAAGGATGATAAGTATATAGAACAGGACATCCACGGGAGGTTATGGACAAGAATCTCAGAGAATGGTGAGGATGGGCTGCAGTATATGCCACTGGAGGGAGCATCCACACAGATGAAATAGAGATCCAATGAAGTATCAAAGAAGTTGCAATAGCTGATCCAGTCATGGGAACAATTCCATCATTATGATTTAAAGTACCTTTTACTACAAGAACCACAAGGAATTTATAAAGATCTTATTATTCATAAACAATGAAACTATATCAATGGAAGGTTTTAATAAATTAGCCCTCCCCACCTCCCTGGCCAAGAAAAACATTTTTGTTTGGACCACGCAAAAGAATACCAGGCTCTTTTTCAGCAGCCAAGTCATTTTTTCCTCCTTCAAGTAATAAGTTGTTGTGAGTGAATCCTCCCAAGTGATAAGGATATTCGATACCTGTTATAAAAATATCAAACATATTGTTTGTAACACAGCTAACAAAGATACACTACCAATTTGGATATAGATATATTTTCAATATAAGATTCTCAATTAAACAAGATTACCTATGTCTTAGTATGCCTTTGAGGACACTGAATTCAGATAAGTCCCTTGAGGTTATGACATGAACCTAACAAAATGAAACAAAACAGGTATTTCCTTTCAAACGATGAGCTAAAAGCACTCCTCCATCCAAGCCCTATTCTGCCTCATGCTGGTGTGGCAATGACCACCTTGAAGGCTGTGTTAGGACAGGACAAGGGCTCTGGCACAGCCTACAGAAGTTGGAGAAGCTTTTGTATGGGCCCAAGGATGCACTGTATAGCTGTCATTTGAAGATTAGTTAAGCTAAGTTCGGAGACAAACATCCCCAGTTTGGCCTCAAGCCATAGCAACTCTCAAAGACTGTCTGCTAAATTACAGAGGAACTGTATAATCAGTTTCAATAGAGGGGATAACTATATCAAAATACCACAGATTTTCAAAGTACTGAAAGGAATGTTGATGTTTTGTTGTTGCTGATGGATTATTTGGGAAAAGAAGAAATTTCTCCCTCTAAGTTAGAGTGGTGTGGGAAGGGGGAGTGGGGGGGAGGGTGTTATGGCTAAGGAATCTGAGTAACTGGGCTCAAATCTCAGCTCTATTACTCACTACCTAGATGAACCATAATCCTATAAAACATATAGATCAGTATTTAACTCCTTAAGATAAGGTGGATTTAAGAGAATCATAGATTAAGACCTTGAAGGGATCTTAAAAGTTATAGAATCCAACGCCCTTATTTTGCAGACAAGCCAACTAAGGCCTAAAGAGGCTGAGTGGCTGTCCCATGGTCACAGAGGGAGCAAACAGGGATTTGAACCCCTGTTCTCTGAACCCATGTTCACACTCCAAATTCAATGTGCTTTCTACTGTTATGTCTTGATTCAGGGTTAAAATCTTGAAATGACTTTAAATACTTTTCTTCGCCCCCCCCACCCCCCAAAAAAATTAACTATTCACAACTCAGAGGAAAACTTTATGTTTTACAAAACATATAACCTATATATTTTCAGGCAATGATTTGGATATTTTAGTAGAAATCCTAATATGTCAGAAAAGTGAATAATGATTTCATCTATTTAACAAATTCAAAGAAGAGAGGTAAACCAATTTAATTATGGGTACTGGCACCTACAGGATTTTTTTTTGATACCTTAAAGTACTGTTTATAGGATATTATTTTGTTTAACCAGAAAGAAGACCACAAATTATGAATATTCCTTAACAGAGACATATAATCATTTTAATAAGACAAGGTGTGTGTGTATATATGAATACACACATGTATATATATATGACACATTTGTGTTATAAAAATCAGATTATTCAAGTAGATTGATGTGACATATTCTGCCATTAATTTAGTATTAATTAATTCACCCTTCTTCCTCATGATTATTCACGGCCAGGAAAAAGATAAATATCCTTGCCTTTTCTATTCTCAAATACTTTTTAAATTTAGGAAAACAAGCCCTGAATACAGGAAGAAAATAATATTTTCTTCCATGTGGAAGAAACAATAGCTACTAGCAATAAAAATTATTACTCTGGAAGTATCAGATGACTACAAATACCCTGATTTCTTAAAACCCAATCGAGCGTATTTCCATAACAGTCCTTCCTTAGTCTCACCATCTTATTATAATTAACATTATAAAGTGATATGGTTGGAGCCTTGCCTTATGTCACAGTCAATTCTTCAGCAGATAAAGACTGATTTTTGATAATAAGAATTAAGAATACTGAAAAGAAATGTACTAGAGACAGTGTACCTGTTTGTGACACATTTATAAAAAATTCCCCTAAAGGTTACATGAATGTACTATTTATTTTACAATAATGCTATCTTTGAATTTTAATGTATCTCAAATTTAAATTATCTTTATTTAAGTAACACCTCAGATAATAGGGATTAAAACATTGTGGTCCGCTTCTTAGGCTGTGAGTTGAGATCCCATGCTGGGGTGTGACCCACAGTTTAAGAAGCACTGAAGGGGTCATGAGTGGAAAAAGTTTAAGAAGCCCTGAGTTCCAAAGTAATTTGCATCATGTACTTCTAGTTCCTTAGGTAAATAAACAGGAATAATTTCTAGAGTCTTATAATCTCTGCAAAGTTAGGATGTAGTCCCTGGAGAAGATGAAAACAATCGCTGAGTGCAAAGTGAATGAGTTCTTAGGCTTAGCAGCCCCAAATGTGTGTATATATGTACTGTATCTCACCACATTCCTTCAACTACCAATAGTCCAACCCTAGCAATCTCTAACCCTACCACTTATGGGTTACCAACAATTTTTCTTAACTGCTAAAATTGATGGCCTTTTCTCAATCCTCATCTTTCTTGACCTCTCTGATACATCTGGCACTCTCAACCATTCCCTTTTCCTGGACATTCCTTCCTCCTCTGGATTCTGTGACACTGCTCTCTCTTACTTCTTCTACCTATCCAATCTATTCCCCCTTCTCACCTTTGCTAATGATAATCCTCCCACCCAATGGGAATGTAGCTAATAATATTGGTGGTAAGCATCTGAAGCTTAACATGTTCAACACAAGAGTCATAAAAACCATCCTTCATCCACTCTTACCTGCTTATGTCAAATATACCACCATCCTTAAAAGTTACACAGATTTACAAATCCATAATCATCCTTTACCCTTCTGTCTACCTTCCCTACATCTTTCCCATCTGTCCCTTCTCTCCACTCGAAAAATCTCTATCATAAATTAGGCACTCAGAAACTCTTGCCTATATCATGGTAGAATGCTTAATTAGACTATTCCTAGTCTCCCTGCTCTATGATTACACCTGTATTTCTCTCCATGAAAGTCTTCATGCAGAGGCTGTATGATCATGTATGGATTAGACTAAGGGGCCCTGAGGGTCTTTCCAACTCTCAAATTTTGTGAGCCTCTCAAGTTCTAAAACATCATTTGCTCCCTCCAATTTCTTACAAAATGCTTTTCTTGTACTTTTACTATCACACAATTATTTTTTACAGCAATCAACTGGAGTCACTGACATAAGAGAATGTCTTATTTCTGGCTATTTTTTACACTTTACCCATTATTACATGGAAAATCATTATGAGTTATAAAATGACACATCATTCTCATATTCCTCAACTCCTCCAAATTTAAAATAAATTATTTCAAAATTTTCAAAACTGATTTTTGTAAATTTTTATTATAACATAAGAATTTTTTAAAGAAAAAAGCACCATATGTATCACATTCTACCATTTATCATAATCATAAATATATGTATTTATATGTGTATACATATGTAGTGTGCATATCTATATTTCCACCCTTATTAGATTATAAACTACATAAATGATCAATGACCATATTTTAACCTGTAGCTGTGACCTCCATATTATCTAGCACCACAGCACCTTGCATGAAGGCTCAATATTTGCTGAATTAATACACGAATGAGGGGAAAGGGCCTTGGTAGGCAAAGGCAACAATTTAGATTTGGTCTATATAAACATATAGACCAGACGATCACAAATCAGGTCCCTGCCCTGAAGGATCTTTCCTATAACAATTGTTATGGAACTTGCAGAGCTTTGATACCTTTAATAGGATAATAACATCTAATATTTATGTGACTTTTTATGGTTACAAAGCACTTTATATACAATATCTAATACAGCAAATAAAGAAAACTGGATCTGGGTAAAAAAGATGTAAGAAAGATGCAAGCTCAAGGGTTTTCTATGCTATTTCTTGGCTATCTGATTTCAAGCAACTCCTTTAAGCTCTATGAACTTGTCTTTATTTGCAAAATAACGAAAAAAATCTTTGCAGAGGATAGTTGTGATGATCAAGTAACAAAATGTGTATAAAAACATTTTCAAAGGTGTAAATGACCTGCCTGTGGTCACACAGCTACAATACAACACAGTCAGTTTGCCCTCCCGCTCCTTGCTACCTCTAGCCAGCACTGTTTATCTTGATTAGCAAAGTTTCTGACTTATCACCATGTTTTTGACAGCATGCTGGTCAAAGTGGAGAGGGTCTGGACGTCCAAGATGGCTAATTTTCTAGGTATGTGTCTTCAAGCCTAAGTTCACAAAATGTGAAACCTCTAAAATGCCGATCAGACTCTATGCCACATGCAACTTTGGCACAAAGTTCAGCCACATAAACTTTTGTTTTTTACAAAAGCACTTAACCATAGAAATTGAGTAAATGTTTAAAAGAAAAACTTTAACTAAACACAAATTCTTTTCAGCCTTATTTGAGACTAACATGGATGTAAATTTGTTTATAAAAATTTATTCTTTTCACATAAAAGCTTTATGGTAGCTGTAATACAATAGGGATTATATTGTTCCATTAGGCAGTAAAATACAGGACACCGTATAAAATCTAACTGTGTCACAGGTTGTTCTCTTTGTGTTTTTATGCTAGAGATCTTAACTTGGAGTCCATAAAATCACTGAAAAATTAAATAAAAATGGCTTCCTTTTTTTTTTTGAACACATTTTTTTTTTCAGCCAAAGTCAAGGTTTATTAAAGATCCACCATATTGGCCAGACTCTTAAGGAATCTAAGCATTTGTATCACTAATGCAAGCGGGTCAGATCTTAAGAAACTGAGCACCTTAATGGAGACAAGATGAATCTTCTATACAGAAAGACTGTGGGAGGGATTCAGAAGTAGCCAAGTAGTCTGGGGTGACCAGAGGAGGAGTCTAAAGAGGATCTGGATGGGAATGGCCAGTAAGCTGGGGTGAACAGAATGCCAGGGACCTGGATCATGTGACCAAGGGAGAATGGAGCCTAGATAGGATTAAGGGTGGGAAGTGGGGGGTAATTGGGAGGTAACAGAACAGAACTGGGAGAGTGGGCATAGCCACAATGAAAGGCCAGTTGAGTGGATTACAGCCTCAGGCAAACACCAGAGCTCTGGGAAAAGTCCAGGGATTTTCTTTTTTGGGGTCCTGATCTCCAAGACATGGTCTTTTCCTTTTAGGGGTTTAGATCCCATCCCCATCATTCCCTCCTCAAACAAATGGGACCCAAATTCTTTTGGGGTAAGGGGCAAAGGTCTTGGCTTCTGAAACTGCTTCCTGCTGGCAAGGGGCATAGAGTTGTCCCTGCCTCAAGGGGGTCTCAAAGAGGAGGTTGACTGGAACTGAGCACTGGCTGCATCTAGGAGATGACGGGGGGACATTGGCTGGTATCCGCTATTTGCTACTGACTGTAGAACACATTTTTTTTTTAAAGTCTGAGAAGGGGCCCCATAGGTTTCACCAAGTTGCCAGAGTGGTACATGACATGAAATTCTACATCTTAGTTTATTTCCAGAATGTAAGTAACATATGGCAATAAGTGTTAATAAAACACCTGAAATCTGATAAGAAAGCACTCCTTAATGAGAAACATTTGATGAACTTACCAAGATGGTATGAATTTTTTATCCCTATTTAATCAGGTTTCTTTTTAGAATTACACATTTCTAAAACTTTCAGGCATTTTTACTTCCTAGATATTTACATTCACATTAAACTACAAAAGGAATTATGTGGGTTTCTTAACATTCAGAAGGCTGCCTCAATAGTTAATGTTTAAGTTAGAAGCCTAAGAGAGTTACAAGACAATAGCACTGATGTCAAATTAGTTACTGCTTTCAATTGACAAAGGTGCAAAAGGCATAATGTTCAAGGTCTTCAAAATCTAACTACACTAGCGGAACATCTATTTATTGAAATGTAGCTGTAAACTCACTGAGAGACAGTATTTTACCACCCATTTTAAGATGTCACCCAAAACCAAAGAAATCTACCAGACAAGACACTATACTCATAGAAAAACAGACAGACTTTTGTAAAGTAACAAATGTACTACTGAAAGATCAATTGGCTTTGCCAACTTCTTTCTGTAAAATCTAGAATTTGCCAAAACATGATTTTTAAAAAAATTTTGAGTGGTATCTGGAAATATTAATATGACTATTTTGCCTCTTTAAATGCCTTTCTGAATATATGCACTGAAATCATTGTTAGGGCTTATGGTTAATACATGTAGATGAAAGGCTTGTAAATATATTTATTTACAGGTAAACCTTTAGGAAATAAAAAACTGTCTCTTTCTAATAGACAAAAATAATTAGTAATATAATTTGGTTGAAAAAAATTAAATTGTCAAAGGCAAAAAAGTAATATAATTTTGAATTTACTGTCTAATTCAACTTGAAATACAGGACAGAAGAACTTAGTTATCTCATCTTTCCCCACAAGAATTGTAAGAAATAACAAAATAGAAGTCATTACTAAAAACTAGATCAAACACTTTTATTACTATTCCCATTTGGAAAAACTGCAATGTAGAACACACCCAGTAAAATAAGCTATGGCCCAATTCTGGACTGTCCATGTCAAACATTATGACAATCCCCCTTTCTTTACTGAGTTGTTAGCAAATACACATACACACACACACACACATATGTGTGCATATGTATAAGTGTGTATATAAATATATTTTAAAATTCTACAACACTTTCTATATTACTAGCTAAAGTGATATCTCCTCTCTCCAACATTTATTATAGATGAAAAAGCTAAAAAGCTACTACTGCTTAAATGTAAATTCAGTATTTCTCTATCTCCATTAATAACTTCAGGGCACGGTAAGTAAATTATTATTTAAACGATCACAGATATAGAGTTTGAAGGCATGTCAGAAGTCATCTTGTCCAACTCTTGTCATTTTGCAAGTAAGGAAACTTAGGCTTAGGAAGGTTTAGGAACTTTGCTCAAGGTCAAATAGTTAAGGATCAGAGACAAAATTTGGTCTTAGGACCTCTGACTCTGGGGTCAGTGTTCCTTTCCCATAGCATATACTGTCCCTTCTCCCATCCATGGAACATACTACTATGTTATAGTCATATGGAAAAGAACGTATCTCCCAAAGTCCCTCAATCATAGGCTTCAGGCCTATTTTCTATAATTACTGACTTCCTTGAAATTTTTATAGGTAAACTCATACCAAATATGTCTTAATAAAATGATCAAATAGACATAAACATTATTGAGACTGTCATATTGTAACAAAGTATTTTTATATACTTATATATTTTTGTCAATATTTTAATTATGAATACCTAAATGTAATAATTTATCATAATTAGTAAACATAACTAATATCCATGCTCACGGCAAAATGATCTTTACAACATTCTGAGGCAGTTATGGCAAATATTGCTATTATTCAAGAACTTACCAGGAGATGATAGATCCCTATTCCTGCTGTACTTATGGTCTTCTTTCATATCAACAGTTTCTAAAGGTACATCATGCTGAAATGAAAATTTCAGGATTTAAGATACAAATACATAAGTATTTTAACATAACCATATTTTACTTTCAATCAAGTAACAGTGGTATCTTCGAGTAAATAAAAGCTATCTTTTTTATAAGTAAAAACAATGGATAGTATTTTTCTGAAACTATTAATATTAGCATATTGGTTTTGCCTGAAGGGAAAAGGAGAAAAGTAATGAACTTTTCTGGCAGACCAGAGAATGTGGTTTTCACAATGTGAGAGCCAAAGGCACAGCAAATGTTTTAAAGTAATTTATTAGGCTGCTGCGATGGAAAGGAAAGAAAAAGAGAAAAGAAAATAGTTGCATATCAATGTGATCAAAGAAAATATAAATTGTTCAATTTACTGCTCCTGTCAGGCTACATATCAAATGACAGAATTTCAGAGACTCTTTGAAAACGAAGTCACATAGTAACTTACCTGATTTTAAATACTATTAGAAACAAAGTTATTTCAAAACCACCATCATGTTTATCAGATTCTCTGGCCTGATGAAGGGAATAGAGGGCTGGACGTGGCATCAGGAATTTTGTTTCAAACACCAACTAGGTATATAACTGTAAGCCAGTGATTTAACCTGAGGCTTAGTTTCCAAACCTATAAAATGGGGATAATACATGCAGCACTTACTTCACAGAGTTATTGTAAAGTCTCAAAATAATGTAGGCATAGTCCTTTGTAAATTTTCAGGAACTATTTAAATGCCAGTTAATACTAGTTATTTGATAAAGAAAAAAAGTCACTGTGTAATCAAGGTTATTAAATTTTTTTTTTACCATTTATCTCAAAAAAGCTTTACGGAACATAAAATACCTTTTTAAAGTGTAGCAGCATTTCTGTTTCAAGGAGGGTGACGCGACTTAAAAGATTATTCCAGACCATTTCATCTATAATAACTTTTCCTTTCAGTTGTTCTTCCAAGTAACGTAACTTATCCTCTATCAAAGTCTGTTTTTTAAGTTTTTCTTGGCATTCAGCAAGAATATTCCGTATTTCTGCAATTTCAGAATTAACACCAGAGTCCTGAAACGATAAAAAAAATAGGTTTTATAATCCAATACTCATGATGAAAGTTCTTCTAAAAGAATGGTTAACTTTTTCCTATTTCCAACAGGTTATTCAGCATTTATAGTAAAAGACCTCGGCATCTAGTCTTCAGTAAAAGCACCCAGCAGCCAAATCAAGAGAACAACATACACAAAGACTTTTTGTTTGTTGTTCAATCATTTTTCAGTCAAGTCCAAATCCTTGTGAACCCATTTGGGGTTTTGCTGGCAAAAATACTGGAGTGTTTTGCCATTTCCTTCTCACAGATGAGGACACTGAAGCAAACAATTTTAAGTGACTTGCCCACGGTAACACTGCCAGTAAGTGTCTGAGACCACATTTGAATTTAGGCTTTCCTAACTCTAGGCTCAGAGCTCTAAACACTGAGCTACCTAGCTGCCCCTACACAAAGGCTAGATTAACATAAATAAAAACAATGTTAAAAGGGGCAGCTGAACTCAGCCAAACAAATCTTGGTTCTGCAAAACAAAAAATGGAAGCATACACCTCTTTTCACGTTAGGTGGTGTGTGTATGGGAATGACAATGGGATCAGAATGTTGCATGTTGACATGGTTGTCTTCTAGTATTATCTTTTGTTTTAACCTCACCTACATTTCCCAAAGTATCCTTCATCTCTACCCTTAGCAAGGGGCACATCTTACACAAGGAAAACACTTCAGAAAAGCCAATACAGTGAAAAAGTCTGATATTATTTGAAGTGTTTCAAACTCAGTCTCCTATCTATGCAAAGAAAGAAGAGAAGAGAGACAACTTTGGCTGATATACTTTCACAGCATTCAGCTTCAAATTTTCTATGACTGATTTCTTTTCATTTCACATTGTTGTGGTCACTGAGTATACTGGTTTGCAGTTTCTCCTTACTTCACTTTGCATTGGGTTATATAATTCCCATGCTTTTTTGTATTTATCAGTCACTGTTTCTTACCATAGAGTAACATTCCAATGCATTCATATGCTACAATTTATTTAGCCATTTCCCAATTGAAGGGTATCTACTTTGAGTTCTCTGCTAAGACAATGAGGAGTGCTATAGGTATTTTTATGCAAATGTTTTATATAAGTTTTAAAACAGGGATATTTGGTAGATATTTTCTCAGCTGACTTCTTCTTTACTGATTCTATATATTCTCCTTAATATCCATACTACATAAATGATGCTATAAAACTGAAAAAGAAAACACACTACTAAACTCCCTAAGACAAATATAGTCCAGACATTCGAATCAGGGAAAGATAAAGCAAAGAAAGAGAACTAGAGATCAGTATCACTAAAGAATAATGATTTTAAAGTTTTAACTAAAAGCCTAGAAAAAATATCTGTAGCAATATATCTCTAAAATTATTCAGTATGACCACGCTGAAGTTATACTAAGGATGCAAGAATGGTTCACTATTAATCAATTAACATAATTAATCATAATAAAAACAAAAATACCACAAACCATAGAAGCACATCAATAGATACAGGAAAATCTTTTATAAATTACAATACTTACTTATGCTAAACCTCTTATAAAAATATGAGAACAATAAATTTGGGAGGGCTTATACATGGGGCACTGCTGGTAGAGGTATGAATCAGAACAACCATTTTGAAAAGCAATCTGGAATTATGCAAATAGTGACTAAAATATCCATACCCTTTTGACCCAGAAATTCCATTACTAGGCTTATGTCTCAGGAGTCCATTGATAAGAGGAAAGTCCCAATACACACCAAAGTATTTATGGTAATACTTTTTATGGTAGCAAAGAATCAGACGGAAGCAAAGCAGATGCCCATCTGTTGGGAAATGGCTAAACGAAGTGTTGTATGTGAACATAATGGAATATAACTGTGCTGAAAAAAAAAATGATAAATGTGATAAAGAAAAGAGCATGGAAAGCTCTACATGAACTGATGCAGGGCGAAGTAAGAAGAGTCAAGAAAACAATATACGCAATGACTATAACATAAACACAAAGAACTACACAAAAACATACATATACACATTCACAAAATCAAAAGTGAATGTTGCAAAACTATAAAGAACAAAGTATGGCTCAAAAGAAGAGATATGGTAAGACACTCCCACCTTGCCCCTTTGCAGCAGTGGGGAGTGCAGAAATTTTGTACATTGTAATAATAGCTAGCATTTACATAAAGCCTACTGTATTCCAGCCACCTAGTTGCCTCTACATTTTCAAAATTCTTCAATATATTGATCAAATATAATGATTTTCTTCCACTTCATTTTCTTATTGTCTTTAAAAAATATTATTTGTTATAAGGCATGGCTCTCTGGAAAGGAGGGAAAAGGGCACTAGGGAAAATTACAGTGATATAAAAATGTATTAATAAAACTTATTTTAAAATGGAAAAACAGAAACACTATAAACCATATGATTACATCAACAGATATAAGAAAGCCTTTAACAAACTACAACACTCATTTATACTAAAATCCCTATAAAGCACAGGTATAGAAGACACATTTTTTAATATGATAAAAAGTATATATTTAAAAACAAAAGTTAGTATTATTTGCCATAGGAAAGCACTATAAGCTTTCTCATTAAATACAGGACTAAGGCAAGGACGCTCCCTCGCTTTCCACACAATTTGACATAGTTGTAAAAATGTTATCAAAACCAATACGCAGGGAAAGAAATTAAAGGTCTAAACATAAACAGGAAATACCATCCTTATGTGTTGACAACATTATGGCTTATTTAGAAAACCCTTCAGAATCAACTAGAAAACTGAGACAACAGTTTCAGTAAAGGAGTAGGATAAAAAATAAATTCACAAACATTAAGAGCATTTGTATGCAGTACTAAATTCAAGAGAAAATGATAGAAGTCCCATTCAAAATAAAAAAATGCATCAAAACATGGGAGTCAATTTAAGGTACACTCAAGACTTACATAAATATAAATCATAAAATACTCTTTAAAGTAAGCCTTAAATAATTTGAAGGTTATTTTACTGCTCATGGCTGGGCTATGCCAATATGATAAAAAAAATTATAATACTATTTAAATTAAGTTATAAATTTAATGCTATATGAACCAAACTACCGGGGATATACTAATTTACAGAGCAAGGCAAAATAACAAGATTCATTTGGCAGAACAAAAAGTCTATTATTGTTACTAGGAAACAATAGGAGAAAGTTGGAAGATGGGATTATCACTTTTCACCTCAAATTACACTAAAAAGTAGTAATCATCAAAACTATTTGGTACTAGTTAAAAAGTAAAGGCAGATATGTAGAAGAGGGTAGATGAGGAAGAACCAGAAAGAACTAAAAGCAATAACTCAGTATTCAATAAAGGCAAGAACATAAATTACTTGGAGAACTCCTCCCTATTTAAAAAAAAAAATGCTGGGGAAACTAAAAAGCAGTTTGGAGGAAATCAGATTTAGGCCAGCAATTTTTACCATTCACTGCAACAATAAACTCTCTCTCTTCTTTTTTTTTTTTCCCTTTTGGCAAGGCAATTGGGGGTTAAGTGACTTGCCCAGAGTCACACAGCTAGTTAAGTGTCACGTGTCTGAGACCGCATTTGAACGCAGGTCCTCCTGACTCCAGGGCCTGCGCTCTATCTACTGCGCCACCTAGCTGCCCCGACAATAAACTCAAAATGGATATTTAACCTAAATATTAAATGTTATACCTTAGTAAAATTGAAGGAAAGCCAGATCAGATGTCTTTCATAGCTATGGCATGGGAGAAAAATTCTCAACCAAAAAAAAGGAAGAGGCAATCAAAAGATAAAATACATAATTTTGATTACATGCCAATGAAAAGCTCTTACACAAACAAAATCAATTCAACTAGTTTAAGAAAAGAAGTTGTCAAAGGGGGGAAAGAATTACACTGAATATCTCTAATAAGGATCTGATACTGAAGATACAAACATTAACAGAAGTAGACCAAGAGGCTTCCCCAAGGGATAAGTGGTAAAAGGCTATAAACAAACAGTTTTCAAAAGGAAGAACTGCAGATTATTAGTAACTACAAGTGAGATGGCTCCAAATGACTAATGAAAGAGAAGAAAAGCAAATAATTTGGAGATTTTACTTAATACCTAGCAAACTGGCAAAGATAACAAGAAAATTAAACAGCCAATGCTGGGGGATGGGGAGGGCACATTGACACAGTGCACATGTGACTGGGTCCAACCATTCTGGAAAGCAATTTGATGATGATGAAAAAAAAGTTATCAAAATATGCATCGAGCGAAAAGCCTTATATGCAGCACAACATTGACAGCAGCACTTTCTGTGGCAGCAAAGAAGTACAAACAAAGTAGCTGCCTATTGACTAGGGAATGGCTAAGCAGACTATGATACATGAATGTAAAGAAATATTACTGTATACCATAAGAAACTATGAATACTACAAATTCAGAGAAGACAGGAAGATTTTATGGAATGATACAGAGTAAAGTAAGGAGAACCCAGAAATAAAAATAGAAAGAACATTAAAAAAAAAAGAAACTGAATATTGTGTACTTATGAACAAATCTGGTCATAAAGCCCAGATTAAAGACAAGAAAACACACCTTCCACCCTTATATGAAGAAGTGGAGGAATATGAGATGTGGAATACTTTTAACTGTCAGCCTTGGCTGTTGTTGGGTTGTGTTAAATTGAATGTGTGTATACATGCATAGATACAAGCTTACACACACACACACACACACACACACACACACACACACATATGTATATACACACACACAAATATTTATTGATTCTTGATTACAAGAGATGGCCTGCTGGGGAAAGGAATAAATGAAAGTGATTTTGTAAACTGTAAAGTCATTTCTAAATTAAAGTGATGTAAAACCAAAAGATATCAATATAGTTTTAAATTAAAAAGATTATTCCAGACCAGTTCCTGCATAATCACTTTTCCTTTCAGTTGTTCTTCCAAATAACGTAACTTATCCTCTATCAATATCTGTTTTTTAAGTTTTTCTTGGCATTCAGCAAGCATACTCCGTAGATCTTCAATCTTAGCATTAAGTTCTGTGTCCTGAAATAATTATTAAAAAAAAAAAAACCTGTTAGGTTTTAGAATACAATACTAAAGACTGAAGTTCTTTTAATAGAGTATTTGACTTTATTTCCATTTGGTACCTAGTGTTTAGGAAAAATCAGCATCAAAAGGCAGCTGAACTCAGATCAATTGCAAAGAACAATCTTCATTCTGGAAAACAGATGAAACATACATCCTTCCTCACAAGAAAGGCGGAGGTGAACAAGAGATGTGGAATGCTGCATCAAATGCTGTCAGACATGGTTCCATACTAAGTAGATTTTGCCTTAACTGTTTATCTTTGTTACAAAGTAAAATCTAATGATTGTGTGGGACCAGGCAAAGAAATATTGGGAAATAATTATGATGCAAAAACAAAACCACCAGGAAGCTTCAGTAAAAATCTTTAAAATAAACTAGTGTATCTACTATTTTTTGAAGTTATACCTGACACATTTCTGATTAGTGAAGGTTTATGACCTTCACTATAGGAAGGAAAGGAACACTTTGGCTGGTACTATCTATCAACGGCTGGCTGAGAAGTATATGGGCAAATCAAAAAGGGACAAAAATGATAAGAAAAAAAGTGGAGAGAAAGAAGAGAGTGGTAGAAAGTAGAAGTGAAGCGGCAGCAACAGCAGGAGTATCAATAGAGATTAGAAGTAGTGATGTGTATAGAGAGCTGCAGAGAGCAACCAGGATGATAGGCCAACTCTAAAAAAAATGTAGAGGACAAACAACTACCTCAACCTGAAAACCTCAGTTCCCTGGGAGAGCAGCATGTCATAATACTCTAGTTCATAAGGGCATCAGCATGAACTATTAAGGCATCATAACCTTTAAAATTCAGCAGTTTGGTTTTTTTTTTTTTGGGAGAGGAAGTGCATTCACTGCATACAGTGTTATAGTAAGTAGGCAAGCCAAGACATTCAGCCCTATGCCTTATACCAGTAATACATGTATCTACACATACATCTAAAACTATGTACAAGTTAAGAATGAGTCAAGAACTCAAAAAAACATAATGGTTGTATATTTATGTAAAAAATGACCAAGCATAATACAGAAGCATCTCAATGGCTCAGGTTAACAGAGCTAGATCTGGACTGAGGAAGACCTGAGTTCAAATTCAGCCTCAGACATTTACTAGTGGCATGATCTTGGACAAGTCACTTAACTTCTGTTTGCCTTAATCCATTGAAGAAGGAAATGGCAAACCAATCCAGTATCTTTGCCAAGAAAACTCCACACAGGGTCATGAAGAGGTGAACACAACTGAATTGACAACAAGCTTGGTGCTGGAGATAAGAAAATACCTCCCTCCCTTCTTCACAGGGGTAGAGAATTAAAAGTGGATATACTGCTTACACTTAAATTGTGTTGGCTGACCTGTTTTTCTTTCTCTTTTTTTTTTAAATTCCTTGTTACAAGGGATGGTACTTGGAAAGATGATGATGTAAAAACAAAATATCTGGAAAAAATAACTCAAACTAGATTAGTAGCATCTTCTTTGCATACTTGACAGTAAATAGTGTACACACACACACACACACACACACACACACACACAGAGGTAGTCCCCAACTTAAGTTTTTGCTATAAAATTTATTTATACCTGAATTGTTTAAAACTCAGAACCTATTTCTTCATAGAAACAATTTCTCTTTTTTCCTTCATCCTATAGTTTAAAATTTGCTACAGTGATTCCCCACTTCCAACCTATACATAGGTCAAACTTCCTGCAAACCACCGTCCAAACAGAAACAGTTAGCCAAGCCTGATCTCTTATGTTTAAAACACATAAACTTTTGTTAGTCTGTGTTTATTTATCAATGATCATATCAAGAAGAGATTAAAATGTGTTACGCTCTCTTTAAGAAATCTAAGAAATATGAAAAAAATCTCCATCAAAACTGTTTATAGTTTGTGTACTTCAATAAGTTTCAGATATCTGGAAAATTCACTTAAAAGTTCCTAATAATTTCAGATAAATGAGGTACTACTGAAACTTTTTTCCATTGCTAGAGTAACTCCAATACATCAGTGAAATGGGACTGAAGTTCAGGAGAATAACTGGGTCTGAATACATAGGTATGGAAGTCATCTGCATAGAGATGATAGTAGAATCAAATCAAACTGACAAGATACAACAACAACAAAAAAAAAAAAAACAATTGACTCTCAGATCTACACACATTCAGCATCAGTATCTCTTGGAACTCCAGTTCCACCTATTACCAACTACCAAGTGAATGCTCCACATGCATCTCAAATTCACAATGTCTAAAACAGAACTCATTATCTGCTCCTCAAAATCCTGCTCTCTCCTCTTCCTAGCTTCCTTATTTCTTTTGAGGTGGACACAATTCTTCCAGCTACTAAGGTTGCAAACGCAACTCTTCCCTCTACCTCAAACTCCACATTCAATAAGTTGCCACGTGTTCTTGATTTTTCACATCCATAACATTTCCCACATCAGTTTTCTTTTCACCGTTCAAACAATACCAACCTACCTCAGGTCCTCATTATCTGTTGCCTGCACCACTGAAAAAGACTTCTAATCAATCTCCCTGGATCAAGCCTCTCCGTTCTCCAATCCATTCTACATGGAGCTGACAAAATGACAGTCCGAAAGCACTGGTCAAATCTTGTTACTCATCTGCTTATGATGCTCTCCTGTCTCTCTCTTATCTCCCAAACCAATTCTTTATTCTCGCAGGGATTCTCTCATCTCTCCATCCTTAGATATTCTGCCAGGCTACCCCTGCTCTAAACTCACTTTCCTCACTTTCTGATCTCAATCCTGTAATAAACCACTTTAACTCTGCACAATCCAAATTTTTTGCCTCCACCTTACTGATGCTGAATCCTGGACTATTTCCATTATCTTTCTTATTCTCCTACTCATGTTTTAGTGAACAAACCTGGGGAAAAAAATCACATAAACTGAGGATAGTACAGATTTCTATTATCTAATTTCAAGAGGGTCCTCATCATTGCCAAGCAATCCATTTACTCCTTCCCTTCTCTCTTTGTTAAGCAGTTAAATATTACACTGTTACACAGCTCTTTTGAATTCCTTGCTTCCCTGCCATTTGCTACTTAGGACTTGTTTCCAATTCTTAATCTACTGTTCAATTTTTAAAAACTGGCCCAATAGTTTTTTCCTAATTTATTATTTATTTTTAGTATTCTTTTTTTTTAAATTCTGAGCTCCCAAGTTCTTGCCATATTTTCCACCCCTTGCCCACCCACTGAGAAGACAAGAAATGTGACAGCATTTATACATGTGAAATCATGCAAAAATACATTTCCATATTACCATGTTTAATTTTTTTAAAGCAAGAAAAATAAAGTGAAAAAATTATGCTTTAATTTGCACTCAGAGCTCATCAGTTCTCTGGAGATAGATAATACTTTTCATCATAAGTGCTTTGGAATTTTCTTGGATCATTATATTAATCAGAATAGCTAAATCATTCATAGTTGATCATCACACAATATTGCTGTTACTGTGTACTGGGTTCTTTTGGTTCTGCAAACTTCACTGTACATAAATTTAGGCCCTCACCAGCTCTAGCTCCTGGATTGTTGTAATAACCTTTTACTTTGTCTTCTTGCCTTTAGTATTTCCTCTCTCCAATTCATCACACAACTGACAAAGTGATTTTCCTAAAATACAGGCCTGATCATGTCATTTCCCTACTCAATAAACTCCAAGGGCTTCCTATTGCCTCTAATAACTTTAAGAAATATAAACACCTCTATTTAGCTTTACAGTCCTTACATACAATATTATCTAGCCAAACTGTTGTTTTTGCTATTTATCACACATGATACTCCATTTCCTGTCTTGGCATGTGTGCACTGAGTATCCCCTATCTTACCTCTGACTCTTTCAATTCCTAATTTTCTTCAGGACTCTGCTCAAGCACCCCTTTCTAGATGAGGGCTTTTCTAACCCTCTGAGCTGTTATTTCTCCCCTTTGTTCCCATAATGCCATATATTTATTTTTTATCTACCTTTATACATGTTCATTGTCTACCTTGACAGAATATAAGCTCCGTGAGGACAAGGAGTGTTTCACTTTGGTCTTTATATGCCCAATGCTCCCTAGAACAACGTCTGGCATAAAGTTGGTGCTAACAAATTTTGGATGAAATATAAACTTCTCTTTCCAGTTACCTTTCAAGACTTATTGTTTACTAGGTGTGTGACCCTGAGCAAGTCACTTAACCCCATTGCTTAGCCAAAAAAAAAAAAAAAAAAAAAAGACTTATTACACATTTGCCTCCTTCACTCTCCAACCAAATGGGCCTGTTTGTTGTTTTCTTTACACAACATCCCATTTGTCACCAGTACCTATGTGTAGGCTTCCTCTCATCTCTTTCAAGTCCTTCTTAGAAAGCACCACCTCCTTCCTTAGACCTTTGGGAATCTCTGGCTTCCTTCGAGGGATAGTGACGTGCCACCTCCTACATAAAACCTATCCTGATCTCCCCACAACTGTCAGTTATTTACATCTAGAAATTATTTTGTGTATATCATATTTATATATTCACCATAGAAGTTGTTTTTCTCTCAATGGAAGCTCTTTGAAGGCAGAGAAGGTGTTTTTGTTTTTTTGTCCGATGCCTAGAATACTACAGGTACTTAATAAATGTTTGATGAATGAATGTAAACTCTAGCCAAACACCAAAATCATAATTAGAAGGCTTCAAAGGAATGAAATTCTATTAAAATTATTTATCTTTTTGGTTCACAGAAGTGTAACTGTTAAAATCTAACTACAAATATACTTCATATCACCAGTCTCAATTAAATATTATCCTAATCTAATATATTTTATTAATTCAATTTCTCTAAAATAGAGAACAGAGTCAAATTTATAACAATTCAAGTCATTCTCCAATTGATAAATTGTCAAAGGATATGAACAGGCAGTTTTCAGAAGAAGAAATCAAAGCTATCTATAGTCACAAGGAAAAATGCTCTAAATCACTACTAATTAGTTATTGAGTCTAAGGTACAAAGGAATAGTAATATGCACCACAGATTCAGAACTATACCTGACTTCACAAGGCAAGGTAAAAATCAACATAAATGGACAGAAATTAACCAGACTAGGGAATAAAAACATGCTTTGGAAGCTGAATAAAGCTTTTAAGTGCTCCATTTTAATTATACAATCAGATACTGTTATTTATTGTAAAGGTACAAAAATCTTACTTGTGATTCACATGTGACTTCAACAACATCTCTTCCAGGTTCATCAAAATTTTCATTACCTTCAGTTTCAGAAAAGAGTAGGTGAGAAAAATTTTCACTATTTGGGTGACGTTCCACAATTGGCTTTTTCTATGTTAAAAAACAAAATAAAACACACATGAAATACTAACTAATCAACAAGCATTTATTAAACTGTTACTCTGTACCAGACACTGCACCAGATACAAAGGAAACAAAGACAAGAAAAAAATATTCCATTCCCAGAAGGATCTTACATTCTATTAGGGGAAACAACATATGTGCAAAGTAAATGCAAGATAACTTCAATGGAGATGGGTAAAGAATTGGGTAAAATCAAGAAAAGTCTCAGGCAGGAAGAGAGTGGATCTTTTTTTTTTTCTTTTGAACTGGATCTACCCACTGGTTGGAAGTACAGTTATTAGTCACAGTCCTGATCCACCTCTATAGGCACAAGCACTTTGACTTGCTCTGTTTCTTAACTGGGCTGGTTTGTGCCTCCTTAGGCAACTTAGTGGCTACCCACTACAGACAGTTCTCCATATGAATACTGAACTTAGTACAGACTTAGCCCATAATTCAGCTTAGCCCATGGAACTCAGAACTTCTAAGCTCAAGAGATTTACCAAACTGAACCTACCAATATGCAGCACCACACCCAGCTTTGAGTTGATCTTTGAAATAAACTAGGGATTCTAATCAATGAATTAAAAAAAATATATAAAACTCTTACTATGTGCAAAGCACTGTGCATATAAATAAAAAAGCAATAGTCCCTCTTCTCAAGGAGTTCTTAAGTTTCAGCTGTAAGTCAGAGGGAAAGGCTCCACAGTGCAGCAGCAAATCACACAATAACGTATCTTTGTCATTTCCATTAATAAAAGCTTATCTACTTCTGATGCTGGACCATTTGCCAGGAGGAAGGTATTGGGAACGTTTCTTTCCAAGTCTTCAGTCACTGAGGTTGTGGATGAGGGAAGGTGGGTACAGCACCTGCAGAAAAGGCTGACCAGCTGCATCCTCACAAGAGTTGCTTGCCTGGATGATGCTGCAGGTTTGGAAGTCAGTCTAGGGGGCTAAGCTGTTTCTAGGACTTTGGAGGGGTGGGGGGGGAGGGGAAGGGAGGGAAATGGTTAATAGGAAGAGTTGGTGGAAATGAAAGGTCTCTTCTACACAAGCACTGCTCTCCTAGATGATGTCTCTAGGAGTCAGACTACAAGTAAGATAAGTTCCTGGAGGAGTAGAGCACTGCAATTCCTGAGGGTCCAAGACTCTGGGTCTGTTTCTACTGAGAGTATGACAGAAGTGGTGGCTGAAGTGGTAGTGGCGGTTTGACCCATGTGGCACAAGCCATGTCACATATGCCCCATTGGGGGAAACCGGTCAATAATTGGTGGTAGGGGATAGGAGAGAATAGTGTGTCTCTTTTTCAAAGTTCACTCCTCTGGATGATAGCTGTGGAGTGAAGGGTAGAGGCAGGGCTTATGATCTAAGCATACTGCTATTCCCAGGACTCTGGGAGCTTATCTGTTTATCTTTGAGCAGTGATTGGTGACCAGTGATTTCAGAGACCAAAATTCTATGTCTAAGTAACTCCCCTCAATTATGGCTACTGGAGCAAGGCTAAAAGCAGGACCTAAGGGGTAGGTCTGGGGAAGGGGGAGAGAGGTCACTGAAATTCCCAGGGCTTTTAAGAGTTCTTATGCTTCGCCACAGTAAGGCAAAGCAGCTAAAGATAATTCCATTTGTTCATTGTGTGGAAATGGGAGACAAAGGTTCTTTAGTAAGGAACAGTAAAGTTGGAAGGGATTAATTGTGGAGTGACTGAAGAGAAGTAATATATAACATATTAGGAGAGGTAGGCTGGAACCAAATTGTAAAGAGCCTTTAAAGGCCAGAAAAGTGTGTATGTAATCCCAGAAACATCAAGAAACCACTAAAGCTTACTGATGGAATCTAGCTACTGCCCCCAGCCCCAATCTAGCCACTACCCCCACCCCCAATATCCCAACTTCTTCATATGCCTTACTGTCTCACTAGAATAGCAGGTGTGCCCATGTTCTCAATCACATCATCCATTTAGCCTCAAACAGGACCACAATAACCAGCCAATCAGAAAGCAGCACTAACAAGTTATGGATTAGGATGTTTGACCACTACATGCACAGTAATAGCAAAGAACTGTCCTAAGGTAAACTCATGACACAGAGAGGGTTATTATAATATCATTATCATAAATAAATGCCTTCTCCCCACCCCCCATTGGGGGCTTTTCTGTATGCATTTTGGGTAACCAGTATGTGCAGTTTCACCAAGGCTAGGACACCTCCCATATCAATGAACACCTCCTATATTTTAATATTCATATATTCTGTAATGATATAATGGCATCTTTTGCTCTACAAAAATCTCTGTCTTGCTCTGTTAAGCTGCTGGTTCCTTCTTGGAACTTAGCCAACTTTCTGAGAGGTGTAATTCTCAATAAATTCCTTTATTTGGGTTGGAGATGGTTTGAGTCTATGAATTCTTTTGAATTGACCCTGCAATACACCTTGAACTCCAACTGCCATTATTAGAGCTTTCATTTTCCTCAAATGATTATGTTTATACTTATCTAAGCATACTTTTATCTTCTTCTCTCCACCCCAGGTAAAATGTATGCTTCTTGAGTTAAGTTTCCCTTTTGTCTTTGTATTCTCAGCACTTAACAAAGTCCCTCATACATAGTAAGCATTTAATAAATGCTTCTTGGATTCTACTAGATGTTGTAGCTCTCTCAGGACAATAAAAGTTCTCTGAGAACAAGGACACTTCAATTTGTCTTGATATACTCCTCCTCCCCTGCAACTCTGGCATCTAGCACAGTGCCTTGCAGAGAGTAGTTTAATTCAACTCAATTCTTTGGTATACATCAGTGATGCTTTCTAGGTGACTGTGTAAAGTACACTTCTATCAAATCATACTTTAAACATCCATACCTGCTCTGAAGGCACACCCCTGAATGTGAAGTCAGGAACAACAGGCTCTACAAGGGTTTTCTCAAAATTCATAAAAGTCTCTGACTTGACGGGATGAATTTTCTTTTTCTGTACTACAGCCTAAAAAGGAAGGTATTCAAAATAATATTTTTTTTGGCAAAGGATCACACAGCTTTAAATATTTTACCACTTAATTATTCATATAAGGTGTGACTATAGAACAGTAAGGCTGCTTTTGTGGGATCTGTTGGAGGTCAGAAGAAGAGTGATCACTATCATCAATATCTTCTAAGTTGAGGAAGCAATACTTTCAAAGTTGATTACTCAGTTTTGTGATTGCAGCTATGCTAAGAAAAAATTATGTTTTATTTCAGGAGTAAAAATAAAGTTAAACAAATCTGTACTTGACATGTCCAAAGAAGCTTATGGAAATGATGTGGTGTCAATTTTGGTTGACAAAAAAAGTTTAAATAATATAGGGAAGATGGCCATAATGATAAATTAAATGTAGTCATAGGTATGTGACTTACCATATATTTTAGCTTCCTTATTTACACAAGGACAAATACATTCATAAATAGCTATCTCAATGTTGCTGTATCAAGTGAGAAAATGTATGTAAAGTGCTTAAGTGTCTATCATCATAATTATTTCTATTTAGTTAGCTTCAAAGTCTAAAGCAGAAACTCAATCTCCTGGCTTCTATGTAAGGCTATTTCAACTACAGCAGACTGTATTCAATATTCTATATTGAATCTATATTCAATCAGATAATTAATGATAAAAATGATTGAAAGGTTAATTTAGATAAACTTATTCTGAAAGAAAACCTGAATTTGACAAAAGTTTTTACAAAGACTAGAATATATGTTTGCAGTGATGAGCAGAAACAGCAAAGACTTAACATCTGTTCTGACTGCTCAGTTTAAAAGTGAACAAAACAAAAAAGCTAAGAAGACTACATAAGTAGGGATTAAACAGAAAAAAATGTCACAGAACCCACAGCAAATCATAAAAATCTACAAATGGAAAACCCAAATAGCATTAAGCTGTGAGAAAACATTCATATTAAAACCACAAAGACAATACTGAATACTTCTTTGATTTAAATGTACTTGTTCATGAAGAATTCGTCCCACTAGGTAAAAAATTTAATCAGGATAAACTACAGGAACAACTCATTTCTCTATCACTTAATAAAATCAACAATCAATAATTAAATTTTAAAAGACTCTTAAAACTGTATATATTCAAAGTGCTATATAATCTGTTATTATTACTGCTATTGTCATTGTTATTGAGAAATGAGACACTTGGATTTAAAAGTTTTGATATATTTATAAAACTAGTCTCAAGTAAAAAGATTTATATTTACCAAGTGGAAAAAAGAAAAACAAAAATATAACTAAATTAACTGTCAAATAAGTGATCTTAAATCTAAAACACACCATTCCTAAAGTTAAAAGTTTAAAATAAAGCTTTTAATATTTTCAAAGAAACAATAAGCATGAAGAATAGAAAGATTTATGCAATCTGATGCAAAGTAAGCAGAGCCAAGGAAAAAATATATACAATGACTACAACAATGTAAATGGAAAGAACTACAAAACTATAAATAGCGAATGGTGAGCAATTTCAAAGAAGTATGTACCTAAAGATGAAACATGAGAATATATTCTACCTCCTTTGTCAGAGGCAAGAAATTCAATGGGTGTAGTACATTGCACATATTTTCAGAATTTTTCCATATACTGATCAGTTTTGATTTTTTTTTTCTCTTTTCTTTTTTAAATTTAAATTTGCTATATGTAATGACTGGTAGCTGGAGGATGGAAAGGTACTGGAAGAAATTTAGGTGATTTTTAAAAAAAATGTTTAAATAAAAAGATCCGTTGGAGGTCAAAAGAAGGCAAGTTATTTTAAAGGCCCCTTCTAACAGTGCAACAGTAATGCTTACAATGAATTTTCTGAATAGAACACATTTTAAGCATTCAAGTATTAGGTAATTTATATAATTTGACAATGAATTACCTTATCCAGGTTACACAGTTCCTTGTGCTTTTTCATCACTAAATTCAAAATATCACAGACAATCTGTATCTTCCATTCAACAAACCCATACTGGAAAAACTGCTTTTTTGTCAAAATTGGTTTATAATGAAATTTATCTCGAAGAAGCTACAAAGATAAAAAATAAAAATCAATATAACATGGAAATTTATTTTCAAAATAAGAATTCTTCCTGTTTACAATATTATCTTAGTGTGCTTGGTGTGTATGGGACAATGCATCTGTCTCAATTACTTTCCTAGAGTATAAAATGATGTCTTCCCTAATTGGAACAGTACATACTGATAGTTTATTGGCTTTCAGCTATTTTGTGTCCTCAGTGGCTCTGAATATACAAAATGAACTACAGCTAAATAAATGACTTAAAAGGAAGAATACAAAAATTAGGACACAATAAATGGAATCAAAATACTAGAAGCCTGTCTAGACAAACAGCACAACAACCAGAAGTATAATTACTATAAATAAATACAGAGTAAGTAATATAGGATATATCTTCCAGAGGTGGAGGGTAGCAACTCAACAATCTGGAGACCATTCACTAGGTTCTACCTTTAGGTAGAAGAAGGATGCTCTGAAATGAGCATGTGATATAAAAGCAATAAATAGCAATAAAAGTGAAAAAAAAATTATATGAACAGTAATGTAACACGAGTTAGTCATCTGTCACAAGTTTCTCCTGTCATGATTTAATCAATTTCTTTGCTTTGTGATGTTGTATTTGTCATATTCCTTGCCTTCTAACTCTCTTACTGTGAAAAGTATTCAAGATGCATAGGCATGAGGATTTCATAACGTCTGTAATCCCTCAGCCTCTTTTGCTTCTTCTTTCTTTTTGTAATAATTATTTAAATTTTTTTATTTAGTATTTTATTTTTTAGTTACATGTAACTGAAAATCTGTATTTTTCAGTTATATGTAAAAACAATTTTAATATTCATTTTTAAAACTCTGAATTCCAAATTCTCATCCTTCCTCCCCCCCCCACTGAGAAGGCAATCAATACAATATAGGTGATACATGTGTAGTCATGCAAAACTTTCATAATAGTCATGTTGTGAAAAACTATTTCCCTCCATCCTATTCCCCATCCCCGTTTATTCTATTCTCTCTCTTTTCACCATGTCCCTCCTCATACGTGTTTTGCTTCTGACTATCCCCTCCCCCAATCTGCCCTCCCTTTTATCACCCCCCCCACTTTGGTTTTTTCCTCTTCCTCCCCACTTTCCTGTAGGGTAAGATAGATTTCTATATTCAATTGAGTGTGTATGTTATTCCCTCTGAGTCAATTCTGATGAGAGTAAGGTTCAATCACTCCCTCTTACCTCTGCCCTCTTCCCCTCCAATATAAAAGCTTTTTGTTGACTCTTTTATGTGAGTTAATTTACCCCATTCTACCTCTCCCTTTCTCTTTCTCCCAGTCCATTCCTCTCTCACCCCTTAATTTTATTTTTTAGATATCATCTCTTCACATTCAACTCACATCTGTGCCCTCTGTCTATATATATATTCCTTCTAACTAACCTAATAATGAGAAAAGTCTTATGTTACAAATATCTTTCCATGTAAGAATGTAAACAGTTTAACTTGAATAAGTCCCTTATGCTTTCTCTTTCCTGTTTACCTTTTCATGCTTCTCTTGAGTCTTGTATTTGAAAGTCAAATTTTCTATTTAGTTCTGATCTTTTCTCAAGAATGCTTGAAAGTCTTTGATCTCACTGAATGCCTCTTCTGCTTCTTAACTTCAACAGTATTTCCTAACATTTCTCACTGTTCTCCCCTTTGCTCACCACTGAAGTCACTGAATACTAAAGGAAGGGGACCAAGCTGAAGAAGTAAGGCATTGTGAGGAACAGAGAAAAGGCAGCATGTTCCAGGAAAGTAAACCACCACTACCATCACCACCACTACCACATCTACTAGAGATCCTGGATAGACACAGTCCAAGACCGAAGCCAGGAGCTTTGGGGATAGGATACTCTCCAAACCATCAGTCCTACTTCCAGTGAACTAACTTCCTCACCACCACCATCATCTTAACAGCCAACAACAGGCCAAGTCCTTCCAACAAGACTCATTCCACTGGCAGCACATTGTCTTTTTCCTCCCCTTCCCTTTTATTCCCCATCCAGGTCCTTCTTCCAAACTAACCCTTGGAACCATCATCCTGAGAAGCAATTTCCATCGAGATGTAGCCTGGCAACTACTTCTGTAGGTATTTCAGTCACAGCTACCAAAGATCCAGAAAGAATGTAGATACCACCAAAATCCCTGGTTCTGTCAAATGGTTCAACATCAGGGATTTTTTCAATGGAAATGGCATTGAAGAAGAGGCATTACCTCAGAACCGTGGGACCTTTCTATCTGAACTGCAGCTGTGAATTTTTTATTTATTTGTTATTTTTTTTATTATTTATTATTTATTTTGTTATGTTGGGTTACATATTTATTATTTATTATTATTTTATTTAATTTATATTTTATTTATTTATTGTCTCTCTCCTTGGGAATGTGAGCTCATTGAGAGCTAGAACTGTCTCACTTTTCTACTTGTATCCTCAGCACTTACCATAGTGCTTTGTACACAGTAAATACTTAGTAAATAAATGCCTTTTCATTCAGATATTCACTACACATACTACTGTGGGCAAGAATCCCTTAGAAGAAATGGAATAGCCCTCATAGTCAATAAAAGGGTGAAAAAAGCACTACTGGGGTATAATCCCAAAAATCACTGAATGACATCTGTTTGAATCCAAGGCAAACCATCCAACATCATAGTAATACAAGTCTATGCTCCAAACACTGATGCTGAAGAGGTCAAAGTTGATGAGTTCTAAGAAGGCCTACAATATCTTCTAAAAATCCCATCAAAAAAAGATGTCATATTCATCAAAAGGGATTGGAATGCTAAAGCAGGAAATCAAAAGATAATTGAAGTAACGGGCAAGTTTGTCCTTTGAGTACAAAATGAAGCAGGACAGAGACTAATAGAGTTTTGTCAAGATAACTCACTGGTCGTAACTAACAATTTTTCAACAACCCAAAAGGTGACTTTACACAAGGACATCACTAGATGGTCAACACAGAAATCAAACTAATTATATACTTTGCAACCAAAGGCGGAGAAGCTTTATACAGTCAGTTAAAACAAGACTTAACTTAGAGCTGACTGTGACTCAGATCATGAATTTATCACTGCAAAATTCTGACTTGAAAGGACAGTAAATTATCAGAACACATAGTTATGACCTAAATAACATCACTTATGAATATGAAGTAGAGGGGATGAACATATTTAAGGGATTAGATCTGGTAGATAGAGTGCCCAAAGAACAATGGACAGAGATTTGCAATACTATACAGCAGGCAGCAACAGAAAACATTCCAAAGAAAAAAAAGGGCAAGAAAGCAAAATGGCTGCCTGATGAGGCTTTACAAGTAGCAGAAGAAAGATAGAAAGGGAAAGTAAAAGGAGAAAGGGAGATATCCAACTGAATGCAGAATTTCAGAGACTAAGAAGGAAAGATAAGGTTTTCTTCAATGAACAATGCAAAAAAATAGAAGAAAACAATAGAATGGAAAAGACGAGAGATCTCTTCAAGAAAATAAGAGGTATCAAGGAAAAGTTTCATGCAAAAATGGGCATGACAAAAGACAAAAATTGTAGGGATTTAACAGAAGCAGAAGAGATTAAGAAGATGGTGAAAGAATATACCAAAGAACTATATAAGAAAGAACTCAACACCAATAACCACAATCGTGTGTATGAAGGTAGAGACAGACATCCTGGAGAATGAAGTCAAGTGGGCCTCAGGAAGCATTGTTAACAGTAAGGCAAGTGGAAGTAATGTAATTCCAGGTGAGCTATTTAAAACCCTAAAACATATAATGTTAAAATTCTGCACTCAATATGCCAGCAATTTGAAAAAGTGGCCCACAGATTGGAATGGAAAAGATCAGTTTACATCCTAATCCTAACGAAGGGCAATGCCAAGGAATGTTCAAATCACTAAACAATCATATTCATTTCACATACCAGCAAGATTATGCTTAAGATTCTGCAAGCTAGGCTTCAGCAATATACGAACCAAGAATTACCAGAAGAACAGGCTGGTTTTTGAAGAGCCAGAGAAACTAGAGACCAAATTGCCAACATTCACCGCGTTATGCAGAAAGCAAGGGAGTTCCAGAAAAACATCTACTTCTGCTTCATTGACTACACTAAAGCCTCTGACTGTGTACAACACAACAAAATGTGGCAAGTCCTCAAAGAGATGGCAATACCAGATCATCCTACTTGTCTCCTGAGGAACTTGTATGCAGGCCAAGAAGCAACAGGCAGAAACAAACATGGATCAATTGATTGGTTTAAGACTGGAAAAGGAAGTGTGACAAGCCTGTGTACTGTCACCTTTAACTTATATGCAGAGCACATCATGCAAAATGCCTGGCTGAATGAATCAAAAGCTGGAATCAAAGTTGCCAGAAGAAATAACAACAATCTCTGATATGCAGACAATACCACTCTAATGGCAGAAAGTGAAGAATAATTAAGAAGTCTCTTGATAAGGGTGAAAGAGGGGAGTGTCAAAGCTGAAGCTTAACATCAAAAAAACTAAGATCCTGGCAACTGATTCTATCACTTCCTGGAAAACAGAGGGAGAAAAAATGAAAGTATTGTCAGATTTTATATTCTTGGGCTCAAAGATCATTGTAGACTGAGACTGCAGCTATGAAATTAAAAGATGCTTGCTTCTTGAAAGGAAAGTTAGGGCAAATTTGGACAGCATACTAAAAAGCAGAGACATCACCTTAACAACAAAGGTCCATATAGTCAAGGCTATGATTTTTCCAGTAGCAAGGTGTAGCTGTGAGATTTGGGACTATAAGGAAAGCTGAATGCTGCAGAATTGACACTTTCAAACTGTGGTGCCGAAGGAGACTTCTGAGAACAAGGAGGTCAAATCAGTTAATACTTCAAAAAATTTAATTCAGGCTTTTCACTGGAAGGTCAAATTCTGAAGCTGAAGCTTAAGCTTTGGCCACAAAATGAGAAGATGGAACTCACTGGAAAAGACCTTCATGTTGGGAAAGACTGAAGGCAA